CACTGGTAACTTACGACAGTTAGTGACCAAAGCAAAGTCCGTCTCGCATTCCTTCAATAACGAGAGTCACTTCAAACTTCCGAGTGACAAACCTTTACGACAGTGTAGGGTATCTCGACCTCGCCTGGCACGATTACCAGCTGGTCGAGACTAGACGAGTACTCTTTTGTTCAAATGACCAACTTACGACCAGTTAGGTCGTTTCGAACTTTCCGATTTCTCGGAGTGGAGATCCCAATTTCTAGAAGATTTGGATTCTGGAGGTGGAATCCCACCTCGAGCTTTCTCTCTTTGCTGGAGACTAATATAAAATTCATATATCTCCAGTTCTTGAATATTAGAATATAAAATTCGTTCCTCTTCAGAGTCGGAAATCGACCAAACTTACCGACCAGTTAGTGTTTCCGCGCCTTTCGGTTATTCTGGCGCGGTGTGCCTTCCACTCGAGTTTCCTTTCCAGCGTGAGATAGAATATAAAATTCTGTCTTCTTCAGACGTTCAAATGACCAAACCTTACCGACATTCTTGTGAATCCGTCAGTTAGGCTCGTTTGAGCCTTCTCCGATACTGGGGGTGGGTGATCTTCCGCGAGATTGAATAAGAGTTATCTCTCTCTCGACTTCGATGCTCGGAGTGCGACCGATCCATCCGTACTGGTTATCCCACCTCAAGTTTCCTTTCCAACGGGAGATAGAATATAAAGTTCTTCCTCTCCTCGGCACGCCTTTCCGATCTCGGCACTATTAATCCAGAAGGAGGATTGTTGTTGGGTGATATAAGGAGATAATGGAGCAAACAAAGTGGCTACCCGCACTTCCCGAGTTCATCATTCCGGGTGCATTAGTGGAGCTGGTCCTGTGTTACCCTTTGACTTCCGAACTTTATCGAGTTCCCTCCGAGTTCATCCTTCCAGGATACTGGGTGGGTTTTGAACAGCAGGTGGTCTGAAGGTTGCAACTGCACCTGACAGACACGGAACGAACTACCGGTTGACAAGTTTCAGCTGGTTTGTCCAGCGGACCTGTTCCCCCGTGGGGTGAGCACGTTACATAGATAGTATACAAATCTAAGTTGAAAAAAACTGTTTGAGCTCCTTCGTGTGATAGTTGTTAGATCTGTTACATAGCACTTTTCTTCACTTCCAACGCCGCAACTTTGTGCTATGTCATTCAGAAATGATGCTGGTCATCTCTCAAGATTGGGGGTCCGAGAAATTTAAGTATATATCACGTGATCTTCTTTTGCTCCCCTTCTCCTTCTATTTCTAGGAACTTACACCTACACCTATGACAGCGTAGATTGACGCGCGTGTAGCCTATTCCCGTAAACAAGGCCATATAGTCTACGGATTCAGAGAAGTACGAGTTTCTAGCAGCAGTAGATCGAGGGAAGAAATGTTATCAGTCCTTAATATATATGACTCTTAGATCAGTTTACATGCGAGCCTTCGAATTACTATCGCGAGCTTTGTCTAGAATCTGGAATTCAACTTCGGTGATCTGGATAATGGCCTAGCGTATCAAAGAACCCCGTATGAAGAGCTAGAGTAGATCTGATTCGTGCGTTTCGCCTTCTCTCATAAAAACACTCCTCAGGAAAGTTCAACGACTAACACGCGTTGGGCCTGGGGTGTCTATTCCCGTGCAAAAAGACGAAAGCCTATGTATTTCAAAATGCAGCGTATGGACGGATAGACCAGCCTTCCGGAGGTCGAATGCTCGCGTCGAGTTTGGCCTGCCTCTCTATCTCTCTCAGCCAACTGTTTACGATGCCATGGAAACGACATCTTCTACTCCCTAAATATTTCCACGCTCGGAAACATGCGGTATTCCTTCCATCGCATCTTGACTTGGGTTGTGCAAAAGCAACTTGGTGGTAATCGGTGATAAGCTCTAAACATACCATAACCCTGAACGAATGATAACTGCAGAGTGAGTTTAATGCTCATTGCGTTAGAAGAGGTTGAGTCGATTCATAATAAATCCCATAATTCGTGTTCTATACGGAGACATAAGCCGAATAAGCAGACGAAGAAAACACAAGAAGAAACAGTCAACCTGTATGCCGAATGGCAGGAATTGTGTCCTCATTAATAAATCAAGTGCTCAAATCTGCCATAAACAAGCAATCTGAAAGATCTCCTAATAATATCCTCCACGAGAATCTCGTCGACAACCGTTGAATCTGCCCTCACGAGCCAAATATAAGAAAGGACTCTTAAACCAGAAGCAGCCTGTCCATATGTTCGGACCCAACCGATCGGAACGGTAACCCCGACCTACTAAGTCTAGTTGAAGTCTCAGCTTCTTATTGTAGGCAAGATTAAAATGCTTCGGCTGATACACTCTGTGCGAATAACCCTTAATTCGCCTAAAGTGACCTGGGCTGCTATGGGATGTAACCCTCCGCGCTTAAAATCACTCCTGAGTGGGTGCGATTGTAGCACTCCAACTCAACCCCTCACTGCACTGATCGCCATGTCCGTAGAATACGTGTTGTTCAACAACCTCGACTTCAGCTCGTGTTTGAATGATGTCAAAACGCAAATGAGAAACCCATTATCCATCGCCGACACCAGTTCCTTCACGAAGTGAATGGTTTCGTACGTTCAAACGCGCGCACATTCTTCGGGCCGTTCCCAAGGCCTCCTTCAGGTGTCCTAGCGCTATGAACGTCTGCTTGAACATTACGGGTCTTAGTGTGAAAATGTATCAGTGCTCATGCTAAGCCATCAATGGCGGTGTAAGCGTGGTTGTGTCTTTTCCTCGCCAAGCGAGATATGTGGGCACAAGCTTCAGTGGCGTTCTGGCGAGCGTTCGGAGGCGTGCGTTGCGGCTCATAAAACGATTGTCTATGCTCATCGGCAGTGGAGTACTCGGAGACCGCTCTTTGCACGTGTCAGTGCTGTGAACACAGTCGCTCTTGAGCTGACCTAGTAAAGACGACTCGCAGTTCATGCACTGGGCAGCGTTCTCAAAATATCCTTAATTCGATACCACGAGACCTGAGTACAAGCTCTAATGATAAGTGCTATTGCTCTCCACCGAGCACAGCTTTCGCACAATAGCCCCCCGTCTCACTTTCTGTTATCATCTCTGACTCCAGGATAGCGATTCAGCAGTGAAAGAGTCGGCCAGCTCCGATGACCTTCTTCCCTCATCATCACCATTGTTCATTACAGCATGCGTGTTGGATGTAGAGAGGAGATCTGTCAGATTGTACATAGCATACATGTCGAGTGAACTGATCAAAGCCAGCATCCCTCGTGGTGAAGTAATGATTTCGTCGATAAGACCCATTATAGAAGTGTGAGTTATAATAACACCGATTCGAAAAGATCTCTGTCTGGATCTTTCATCAGTTGTTGCCGAAGGTGCGTCAGGATTTGCCGGACTCAAACCAGAGCGTGTTCAAACTACGTGACTCATAAATGTAAAGCAAGTCACAAAGTCTATCAGACTCTGCTACATTGAACTAGCAGGCAATACAAGATACATTCTAAAGGAACTATTATCAAACTAAAAATATAGATAGTGATTGATATCTCTAAGGTGGGGAAAAGACTAATACTTCTCCGATGTTAAGCTATAATCTACACTATGAGACCCTAATAAGCTTCCATTATATAGGGTGGGACAGGTTACGATGGCCCTCGGTGGTTGATATTCCATGACTAGTCGAGGTTCATGCAGACATGGCGGTGACAAAGTATGGAGCTGGAAAGTCATCCATCGTTTTACAAGTGTCGGCTAGCGACTGAGGAGGGGAAGTTTTCATCTCAGCACTAGAGTAACGACGGATTAAATCATGGGGGTGGTGTCCACCCTCCGTGGGGCAAATCAGTCCGTATCCTTCGGTGGAGGTAGGAAAAAACGCCCGCAGGCTGGTAGGTAGCATCAGGCACATCGCCTGGGTCCTATAGTTACCCTTCTTATTTAGGCCAAAATGGAAATTTAGGCAAGTAAGAAAAGCCCACGAGATGGTATCCCCACGATAAGCGGGAGCGGAGTAAGTACTCATTGTATACCTGGTGAATGAACCACTCTCAAAGAGTGGGTCGCATAGTTCTGTTAGCGAAGTCTGTGCGTTTCGGCCAACCATATCGGCCAATAGTGCCCAGCATCACGTTTTTTGAGCAAAGACACTCGGTGGCAGGTTTGATATCCGTCAGCCGAGCATTCCCTCCTTCGCATCTCAAGGTTCCTACGATCCGGAAAGACGTGCTGCAGACTCTCCGAGCGAGTAGCCTCTCTCACTCAAGCGTCTTGAGCATACTATGGGACATATTACACACCCACAATTTCATTTGAATTATGTTATTAAAAAAGGAAGCAAAGCGCCAATAAAATTATAAGGACGGTAGGAATAATATTCGAATGAGAATGTACCTGAGTATGAGATGGGCTGACAGGACTCAGATTGCTCTGGAAGGGCTTATCAGGCCAAAATCTTTATGTACCGATTTATCTTCGAAGAACATGGTGGTACTTAGGTCAAATTGGTCACACCCTCTTGGGAGAGGCTTGGAGACCGGATCGAACCGTCGACCTCAAACTGTCCAGTCTCGCGGAATAGAGGCCTCGACACCGAGATACTTCTTTGTCAGTGACAGGTCTAATCCACTTCGAGAATGTCCAGTGAATGTGGTGTCGGACTCAGGAGCCTAAAGTAGGTCGTCCAATATCCAGATATCACGAAGGGTAAGCTCACTTCTTCAATCAAGACGCCCTCGAGGAACAAAACATTGTTCGCGAGGCATCACCTATTCATTCGAACAGAGTAAATCATCATTCAAAGCAACCAATACAAGAGGGTCTTCAAAAAGATTACGTCCTCACACATGTGGCACACGATCGTGGAGCTCTGTATTTTACGAACTGGACTTCTGGAATGTATTTTGTCTGGTTGACAGATGCGTTTGTATGTAGCTCAGAGTCCTTCTTCCTCGTTTCAAGTTACCCAGGCCTCATGTCAACGGATACCCTGACACCTTGGTTTCACTACACATCGACAATGGTGTGGCTTTGTACATAATACTTAGCAACTCGATCTCCAAGCCCTGCGCTCGCAGAATGAGAAGCACGTGGCTCGTGATCGCCAGTGGTTCTACCTGAAATGATAACATCCATAAATACCAGATGGATTCAAGAAAGGAAGTCAAAGGTATGACAAACCTGCACCGAGTTCTCCTTGGTCGGAGCTATATCCGCAAACTCCCCTCAGGAGTCTCGACCTCATCATTGAGAGAAGATTTACCGCGTCTCTTCCCCTGCTTCCGAGCAATCTCAGCTTTACGAGCAGCCATCATGGCGGCCCGCATTAAGTAATCGGACTCTAACTCTGAAAGGCTCTTCACGCCAATGAATTCATAAGCAGAGAGGAGCCACTTGCAGCTGAGAAAGGTGATCATCGGCTTACGCTTATAAGAGGGAAGAGCAAAACGGGCCTCGGTGCAGCCCGCCATAGTCCACAGCCATGCTCGCACACCATCGACGAGTCCTCCCTCAACCTTCAAGCAACGGCTAGGGTTCCCAACGTATAGTTGGTCATAGCCGAATTGACGAGCAAAACGGCAAGGGAGATAAGGCTCAATGTAGCACCGGTTCTTCACCCGGAAAACAAGATACCCGACACGGATGTTAATCAACCAACGAAAACAACCGATGTCGAGAATAGTGCGGTTACTCCTGGGTTTCTCCTCATCAGTCAAAACGTCGCCGTAGCGACCCGAAAACTGAGGGAAGCACTTGAAGAACTCCCAGCCCTTGCGAACTTGAAGCTCCTGCTGA